TTTTCATATACAGGGAAGAGAGAAAGTTGATGATGAACATGATGGAGTTACTAATGACAGCAAAATAACAGATGAGGTAGTTTAAATGTACCTGTACATGTATACTAGTACATGAATTTTAGTCAAAATAATTGTGAAATACATGTACGATATGTCCTGTACCTTTACCTGTAGTGGCTAGTCTCGCTAGCCAGACCATTCCCCAGCCTACACTATGTAGAGGCCCCATCAAAGTTCTTGTCCTGGGCCCCACATAGCCTATTGGTAGCCATGCCTGTAACAATAAACTATGGACTATAGTACATGCTTTTGTTTCAAAAAATGAATCCAAAATTATTCTCAATTTTTGTTACGTTTAAATAGTTGAAGCTGATTCCGACTAAAATTTATGAGTCATGTCCATTTAAACAAATGAACCAATTAATATTATTACATCTCATTGTTTTTATTGTATTTTAGGAGTTTAACGAGAGCTTTGCTGATAAACATTGAATTATGAAATGAACATCAAAAGTACGTAAAAAAGTACGTAAAAAAGTACGTTGCAAAATGTACGTCAAATGTAAATATACATAAGTACATGTACATGTAATCCTTTATCTCCATGTCTCTCACTATTTAGAGTGTTAATAGAAAATATGTGTTTCATTTACCTGACACATTCCCAGAAACTCAAAGTATCTTGAGGTTCGTTATTCCGCTTGTCATCCTGCCCCTTCCCCACCTCCTCTGGTCTCTCGTACAGCTGTGTGTTTGGTACCAATACAACAAGGTTAGGACACACAGTCAGTGTATGTACATGTACATGTTTGTCCTTTTATGTTTTGCCTTATTTTAGCAACTTAGCAATTATTAATTAATTGAATAATAGGGAGATATTGAGTGGGCATGTCAGGTTGGTTTATTTTTAAATATTTCAGAAAAATACACAAAGCTAGCTTTTTCCAAAAAATGTCAACTGAATCATTTGAATTTTTATTGCATTTTCTGATACATATTAATATACTTATTCTGTGTAGAAAGTTTTGGCTGATTTTGAATAATTTTTTTAAGTTTCTGCCATTTTAGAAAAATGTCAAAATTCTGAAAAATATCCAAAGCTATAGCCCATGGTTTTTTTTGCAAAAGATGGCTCCAAAATCACTTCAACTTTTTATTGCATTTTCTGATACATATTGATGTCCTGATGCCCGAGCTTATGCCCATGTGTGTGAGTCAATTAATTTGAATTAGTTATGGTATGGCATGAAGTTAGAAATCAATGAATAAAGCATCATCTCCCTTGTCTTATACAACTTATTGTACTGTACATTGTTTCTATAATGACAGTAAAACTCCATACCATCAAACATTAACTTTACAACTTGTACAGTACATGCATAAATACTGTAGTGGAATGACACAAAAATATTTCAAGAATATTATTAATATGCTATTGTTGCTACATGAGTAGTGAAGTGAATAATGTAAGTGTTTATTCATTGTATATTTATAATGGGAACAGTCGTTAATATAGCATCAGTTATAGGTTAGCTCTCTCTCTCTCTTTATTAAAGACAGTGGTTCATGATGGATAATATTAATGATAATTTCACACTATCAATGGCCCACTGCTAGCTGCTGCGTTTGGTACAGAGATGATTGGAGGACTCATAACTAACTCATTAGTACTGATACTCACTGCCTCTCATCTAAAGACTTGGAAGCAACCAACAACCATCTTTCTCTCTAACATGCTCCTCAATAACCTGGTCATTGGGATCTGTATCATTCCTTTTGCTATCATAACAGCTGCTGTGGGTGAGTGGATATTGGAAGGACAGAGAAGGAGAAAGAAACCGTC